CTCTCCCCAGCCTGTAGGTTCAGTCCCATTCTCTGCTACACCCATTTCCAGGGAGGGGGTCAGTTGGCTCTGGTTGGGGCAGCCCTGTCGCTCTCTTTTCATGTGTTCTTCCACGTGGCCACGCTGTCCTCATGGTTTGATGCATTAGGGGAGGGTCTGCATGCCCACTCCCGATTCTCAGGGACTCACGCTGAACTTCTCCTTTTGTCATTGGCTGACTGCCCTTGGCACACTTTCCTCCAACTCTTCCCACGAAAAGACGTGTTGCATGTGCTCATCAGTGCTTTTTAGTGATGCCTAGCACTCCATTGTGGGTTGTGCCAGAGCTGACTGATCCACTTGTCTACCGATGGAAATTCAGATTGCTTCCAACTCTTTGTGATTGTGAATTGCGCTGCAATAAACATTGGCGTGCGTACGACTGGTCGTACGTGGTTTATTTCTTACCTCCTCTGGATATATGCCCAGTGGAGGGATAGCTGGGTCATAAGATAGCTCAATTTACATCTTTTTTAAGCATCCCCAGATCGTTCTCCATAGTGGCTGTACATAGCTACAAGACCCCCCAGCAATGTAGGAGAGTTCCTACGCCGCCACACCCTACACCTTAATGCTACAGTGACATCCTCACTCTCCAACACTTTAAAGCTTGCTGAATGCAATCTATCCTTTGATCCCTTGCCTGCTGCTTCCCTTACCATTGACGGTGGATCCAGGGAAGACAAAACCCTGGACAAGGTCAATCTTTGTTTATTATGAAGACGTTGATTGGTCCAGGTGGGAGGATGTGGGGTTTCTGCACACTGAGTTGTAATCCGTGTTGGAGGCTGCAGTCATTGATCTTCATTACCAGGGGCTTTCAGGACGTAGGCTCGTGCCGTCCGCACGTTGAAGGTGGTTAGTGACCCTTCCCCGAATCCTGACGCCGCGCGCTTCTCCATACAGGCTCCCTTCTCCGGTTACTTGTTCAGAACGCAGACTGCATAGCGTGGCGAAAGGGCACAACCCTGACACATGCCTTCCCAGATTTTAAACCATGCGACAACTGCTCAAACAGTTTATGGAGTGGCTAACCTTGGGGGAAGCACGGCCAGAGTGCTCCTTAGAGGCAAGGTTGGCGAGACTTCTTCTGACATGCTTTGGGCGTGTAGTCAGGGGAGACCAGTCCCTGAGGAAGGACATCGTGCTCGATAGAGCAGAGGAGCAGTGAAGGAGAGGACACCCCTCAGGGAGATGAACTGGCACCAGGGCTTCAACAATGGGCCGAGGCCCAGGAACCAGCGTGAGGATGGTGTGGGACCAGGCAGTGTTTCCTTCTGCTGTTCACGCGGTCGCTGTGAGTCGTCTTGGACTTGATGGTGACTGACAGCAACCACCTTAATCAACTGCTGGAGCACAAGGGGGGGAGAAAGGGAAGAGCGGAGAAGAGGCCTTGCTTATAAACCATTTCAGACCCGAGGGCTTTAAGGGGACCTTTGGTTTCTGCTGTGCTTCCATGTAAAGGTCTTCTCTTGAACTTTGTGTTTTTCAGCTTGGAGATTGCAACCCTGAATCAGGCTGACTCGGATTTGGAGGCTTGTCGAACCCAAATCAGTAAGGATGTCATCGCCCTCCTACTGAAACAGCAGGCCAGCGGTGGACGCCTCTCTCCCCAAGTAGAGAGGAGGATGGGGAGTGTCTTCAAGAAGCAGTTTCTGCTGCTGGAGAACGAGGTACAGGAAGAGCATGGTCGCAAGATGGTGGCGGTGACTGCGGAGTGCGACCTGGAGACGCGGAAGAAGACAGAAAGCCAGTCCCAGAGGGAGATGCTGGCAA